CGACTTCTTTAAGAAAATCTCCATGTAGGGTTGAGGGCCAAGTTTGCAGTGGTTTTCTGTTGTTGTTGTATGGAGACATTTGAGCAGGTCTGATTAGTGAACCAATAAAGAGGAGGTCTGTGGGTCGCCTTTCAAGGCCATTATCAAAATGTGCGCCGCCTCAGTCGGAGGCTTTCAATTCAACCCTTTCAATACCCTTTCCGCAAACATATTCACAGTATTAAAAGATGTTATACTGATGTGGTAGCAATTTATTCTCCATTGGATGCAACCTGTCGAAATGAACAAATATATACAGGCGCGATGCCACGGGGGGGGGGGGGGCGACACCCCCAAGGTCACAAATCATTTCACTCGGCAGAATGAAAAAAAAAAAAAAAAAAAAAATACAGTTACTCGGCAAAACTGTGCATATTATATTTTAAGTCGTTGCGATTTAATTTAAAAATGTTACTCGGTAACCTTTACTCCCGACCCCCCAAAAAAGTTTTCTATCGCCGCCCCTCAATGTATACTATACTGCATCCGTAAGGATTGATCCCGAATGAGCTGAAGGATCCAGTGACCAAAGAGAAGGCTAAGGCTTTGCGTCTCGAATTAAAACTACAGTAGAGCGTGAGTCTTGGCTCACAGTAAGTCCATTCGGCAGGTTATACAGGTTTGAGTGAGCCCACAAGGAGTAAGCTCACGCATAAAAAAACAATGGGGACATGCACAGGATGATTTCCATCACTTGTGATGCAATAATTTGCCTGATTTTGTAGTCACAATGACCAAGGCAAAACTCATTATGCGGTAAAATGGCAGAAGACCAAACTGAGCATTAACAGAGTGCTCTCCCATTCATTTTTGTCTCTTGTGTGCTGTGTGCCCAACTATATGTCAACTACCACAGACATCTGGCAACAGTCAAATAATGAGGGATATCCACTTTAAAAAGCCACATAGCCAAGCAAGAACTGATTTCTCATACTATCTGTGTACCTGAATTTTTGTGTCTTCATTATTCTTTTCCTTTTTTCTCTCTGAGCTCAACTTCCGTAGTTTTTCTCCTTAAGCTAATATATCGTCCCTGTTTTCCCGAACGGCGAATGTGCAAAAAGTTACTTTTATTTGAAATTGAGTTCAACGTTTTTTTCAACAAATATAAAATTGCTTACAACATGATACTGCATGCCACATCTCAGTATCGGGAAGAAAGTAGGCCACTAAAATCTGAGACAAAACGGACATTGGTTCACGGACATCAAATACACATAAAACAAAAAAAAATCGACAAATGGTTGCGTTACGCCCGTGTTCGTGAAAACAGGGACCATATGTCTCTCCATGTTTATCCTCCTACAAGTTTTTTCCCTACTTACTTCTGCTTTATTTCAGGAATTACATTTGGATCGTCAGTGGCCAAGAAGACCCTTCGTTGCGCAACAGGCTGACGCAACTCCAGCTGCTTGTAGAAGCCCTCCACTTCTTCCATGTACACACTGAGGTCAATGTAAACTGCTTCATGTATCAGTTTGTCAGACCGTCGAATCTGCAAGCTGAAATATGAAGAAGACTGCCACTTGTGAAAAGCAGTGGGGGGAAATGAAGTGAATATAGCCGTATCGTAGAAAATAAACGTTTTGAGTCAAAGTACTCATGAATTGGTATCACTGAATGAGATGCTTGAAGTAAATTAAGAGATGTGTAAATGTCAGAGGGGTAGGGCAAGGCAAATTATATATCAAATTAAATAATAAAAGAGTAAGGCCAGTGGCTAACAATGAACCTAAAAAATTAGACAATACAAATATACCTACAGTCCATCAGATACATGCATGCATGTGTGTGCTGCATATACCTGATTTATGTGTTAAAATGCTAATAATATTCACCCTACAATAGGAGACTCGTAACCCATTTCTCGCGCTTGGTTATCAATGTAATCCTGGAAATCCTTGTTCATCCTCATGGCGTACTTGAAGAACTGGCCCATCCACCAGGCAAAAGGATCTCCGTGGAGGCGCACCAGACGCTCGGAAATGTCCTTCGGGATTGACTTTGGAAAATAGTTCGGCCTCGGATTCGGTCTGTCCATACCGGGAAACGCACCACGAGCGAATCTTTCTTTCCTGCAAGCAGATTCGTGGAAGTTGATTCCTATGAGAATCTCAGCTCAAAGATTGCTTGATAACCTTTCCTTATATAACAATTATTATGCATCATGTTGAACGTTTTGTGCAGTCCTATTATCGTCATAAAATTACAGAGTAACATAAGGCATTGAGCAGCCTACTGCCAAGTGTAACAGGCTCCTGCCCCTTTCATCACAGCAAGACAACCATCAACACCTCTCACCTGGCCAAGGAACCATCTGAGACTTGTCGTAACTTGTGCAAGTGTCGCTGAGAGGAAGGAAGAACGTCTCGAGTCCTTCGGGATTGCCATTGTAATTCTTCGTATCTAGAATCAAGGTCCGCTGAGTGCCATATGACGCCAGGAAGCAGTAGCTCAGGTGGTGTAGTTGGCTCCCTATCCCTCGCCCCTGTAATGGCCATAGCCACAGTAATTCGAGAAAGTGTTATTTCAAGACTATCTCGTGTCCCGAAGTTTAATGGAGATTCTGCAAACACTGTCACTGAAATCTTACAATTTTTTCATTGCCATATAAAGACAATATTTTGTGTTCCTTGTTTTATCTGGAGGTTAAGACAGCAGAAAAAATAGAAAAACGAAACTACTTACGGCAGCTTTAAAGTCACAGTAGATCTTCTTAGCAGAGGCGCAGTCGGGGGGATTCTGCAGGATGTGCAACCGGTGCTGCACGAGGGCGCTGAGGGCAGCGGCCTCTTTTTCTCTCCATTCGCGAAACCCGTCGACCTCGTTAAGACGCGTTAGGTCGTGAGAGGTCACTCTGACAACAGAGGAACTCGGTCACGACTCTCAGTCATCCAAACAAGCCTAAGCGAGTTTCGGTGTGGTTCACTTTGGAATTATTCGAAAGATAACCTCTCAAATGTGTCGGAAAAAATATCACAGGATTGCAAAAACGCAAAAAGGACTTTTCAACAAACTGGTTTCGTGACATGGAATCAGATAAGATAAATCATAACAGCAAACAAGAAAGATAAAAATGAAATGTCTACCAGCAAGGCATTGCACATACCTATACTGTGTTTCCTCCAGTGGCTACTATCCGCTAACCTCCTATATATATACACATCCTCAGACTATGGCCCCTACAGGGTTCCCTAGGGGAGATTGACCCCAATTTGGGAACTGACCTAAAGTAAATGTTCCAGATCTTCAAGAACGGTGGTAAGATTGTTATTGCTAGAGCTGAGATTCCTGAGATGGAATTTCAAGAACTGCCAGGTGTGACGCACGTCCCTTCCCACCTGTCGACGCATCTGCTCGGCCTCCATGAATGGCTCTGGCATCTGAGCGGAAACAACTGCAATAGGACGTGGGTGCTGGGTGAATTTTTACACGTGTATCGTGTATTAATACATACATTTGCAAGCAAGACAAATAGGCCTACGTGTACAACGACACATGCACACACATATATACACATATATGTAGCTCCTGTAAGACCACACATATTTAAGTACTTGCACACATACATATACACATATATACGTAATGCCCACCAGAACACATACACACACACACTATATATATATATAATATATATATACATACATACACATTTACGTATGCACATGTACAGTTGCCTAATTCTTACTCTATGCGTGTTATATTTTTATGTACAGCTTGAATGGATTGGAAATTTCATTAGAAACGTTTACTAAGTCTGCAATCTTATTTGTATTCATGAATGTCAATACAATATCTACGAATAGATATAACAGATTGGTTGTAGATATCTTGGCATTTAGTGCTGGGCTGAGGGCTTTGTGAGCAGCAAGGGGAAAGGGGAGGCTGCGTCCGAAGCTAACAGCATATAGCCGGAGAGAACAGGTGTATGGAATTCCAGTAAACTTCATTGTATATCATGCAATAAGTAACAAAGGGGTGACGTTGCATTAGATATTGTTATGAATGTTTTTACCATTAACATGCGATATACTGTGCACACTCTTAAGCACACAGTTACGCGAACTCACTCAAAGCAATTTCTTGTTTGTAAGAGAGAATTCTGTTCCTTCCTTTGTCAACCAAATATTTAGAATTTGACAAAAATCCTAATTTTTGGACATGAGCATTTATACTAACGTTCCAATGCTTTACTGGATTTAAATATTTTAAATCTAAAATAAAAACTAACAATTTGACGCTTTCGTAACGCACACACACACAGACACACAAATATATTTATACATATATTTAAGAGTTACCTCTTCTGTCGCCTAACGAAAACGTACCAGATAAGAGCGTAAGAAAGTACATGTATGTGTGTAGTCACACAGGTACATACATGCAAGGTCTATATAAGTACATATGGTGCGTTCGGAACTGCTCGTCTATCTCGTCCAGACCAGTTGGACGAGATGTTTTGACCGTTCGGAACCTCCACTATCTCGTCCCGGACAAGTAGTCTAGCTCGTCTAGCTCGGCCGAGCAGGACGAGATGACGTCACTATATATTTTCTGTGTAAACATTGACAGTTGCAGGTAACCACAAGATATTGGTGGGTAATTTTATGACCCTTTGGTGTTATCAAGGATATTTTTGTGTGTTTGTCAGTTGCAGGTAAGTTAAATGTGCATCAACGGAGTTACAAAACCTATGCAGCGTGTAAAATAAAGACACCGGTATGCTAAAAAAGCGAATGTTTACATTCGAGCCTGTTGCATTGTGGGCAGAAATGGTCTTGAGGTTCCGAACGCGGCGCATCTCGTCCTGCTGGTCCTGGACAAGTTGTCTGGACGAGATAGACGAGCAGTTCCGAACGCAGCATTACATAGACCTTGCACACATGCAGACTAGCGGGGATCTGCGATGTCCCAGAGGAGGGAGGGCGGGTCCTTCTACGGGAAGGTGGCAGGAGTGG